CCTATATTTCATAGATTAGACTATGAACAGAATCATAGGAGAAATGCCTCCTTTTGGACAAGTCGGTTTTATTCGAGGGTCTGGTTCCGTCTCGAAAATAGGAAAATGATCGAATTCATAGGATAATGAATATATAATAATAAATATATTTTTCATATCTGGCTCTCAATGACATGGAATAAGCCACTGATGTTGTTCGTTTCCGAACGACACACGACATGTAACAAGATGTAGTTCAATTAGTTCTTATTTACTTTTATCATTAATTGAATGAAGTTCGAGAGAACATTTTGAATAAAAAGATATCCAATTTGAATAAATAATTGAAAATAATTTATTCACATCAATATCCATTCAAGAGAGAGCTCACTGTGTTTCAAACTTCAGATGATTGTTATTTGGCAATTGTTGCAATAAGTTCATCATCACACAGTGTGAACGTATATCGAATGGTACGACTTTTTTCATCGACACAGGGTGTCCGAATAAGTTGAATACATTGTTGTGAGTGTCTATATTCTCAAATTTCATGTAGATTTCTTTCATTGTAAATTAGTTTTTCTTCAAGAAATTTTTCAACGAAGCTGGGCTCAATCCTACAGAGAAAAAAATGTGTATGTTGATGTAAGAATCGCGATGTGGATGTGTTGTGGAAGAGAAGACATATATCCCATATTAATCGCAGTATTGGAAAGGGATATCATTAAATGAATATATTCAGCGATACAATCCTTTTATCTGTGAGACTCAAATGAAAAAGCATTTAAGAATATTTAAATCACAAAGCAAAAACTTTCAATGCCTTAAAAACAAATACTCAACAATGAACTTTTATAATCATAAAAGCTTGACATGAAATCTCAAAGAATGATGATCATAGAATATTGGGTAGAAAATAAATGAAATAATATGATTTTAAAAATAAAACAAAAGAATAATTTCTGTGTTTTGAAAATAAAAAACAATACTATTTTTATTATTGATCATAGGTTCGGTGGAATGGATAAATCAATCAAATGTTGAGTATTTATCATATTTCGACGACAACATAATTTTTCAGGCATTGAATAACTTGTGGTTTTTGGAAGATCAGAATCATTTGTCATTATAAGTTTTTGTGGCAGAAAGAATATTTAAATTAATGTATTGTTTTCTTATGGCGTAAATATAAACTAATACCTAAAAATATAGCAATCTGTATCTAATTTTAAAATAAATCTGTATCTAATATAGAATGCTTTTATATCTAATTAAGAAAATAATATATCTAATTTATTAAATAACATTACCTAACAACACAAAGTTATATCTAATTAATAATTAAAGTAATAGAAAAAAATAAAGATACAATTATCAATTATTTACAAAAATAACACAGCAAAAAAAAGAAAACGATTGCACAATTAATGCTTTTTAGCTTCAACAGAGTCTATTGAATCTGTTTTATCATTATCTGATAATGCTGCTGCCATTTTCTTCATAGTATATTTTTTTATATTTTTTAAACTAACTTTTTTGCTTATCACTTATCGTCATTCCTAGCTCATATATACTCTTTCAATTAATTGATAAGTACCCAGGTCGAAAAGTACCGGCCGGTTCCGGCAGGAAAACACCAGAAAGCAACGGAACATGGAAGCAGTATTCCGGTCGGAAATTTTTCGGATTTTTTTCCGGTGGATTCCAGCCAATTCCTGTTCTTTCCGGCAGGAACCCGGCGGAAAAAGTCCGAAAAACTTCCGGCCGGAATACTGCTTCCATGTTCCGTTGATTTCCGGTGTTTTCCTGCAGGAACCGGCGATCTTTCCGCGTCTTTCCTGCCGGTTCCTGCAGTATCCGGTGACCGGAACGATCGACCTGGGTACTAATCAATTATAGATTACGTTCAAATTAATTAGATAATTCGATAACTTGATTGACAGTTATTTGTTAAAAGTGATAATATATTAAATTAAAAGACAGAACATTTTTTCATTCACAAATCGAATTGATTTAAAAGATGTTTAATTAAAAAATTAGATTAAACAATTTTTTTAAAAGTATTCCTTCACCGAAATAGATACTACTATATTAAGTTAGGAAATATTCATATAATTTAGATACAGATTGCTATATTTTTAGGTATTCCATTAAATGCATGCCTTTTCGTATCTAAGAAATACACCATAGTCAATAATCGGTATTTGATTTTGATTTCATTTTAAAAATAATAGTTCTATTGCTTTACTGTCGTTTTGGGTGGATGTTGGTGTGGATTTGAGCGTGAGTGTTGGTGTGAAGTGTGGCTAGACTATAAGTGTCAGAGAATGGAATATCAACACCTAACACCCACACCCTTCAATCCTTTATTTCGTGTTTATTGAAAGTGAAAGTAAAGTCACATTAGAACTTTCACAAGTAATCTCTCACAAACATCCTCCGTATCCTTGAGTAAGACAGCATCATCTTTGTAGTGTAAAGATTGATTTTAGTGATGCGGTTCTTTCTACATTGATGTACTTCATTTTAAGAAAGTTTTCATTCGTATATTTCTCTTGAAATATATAAACGATGTGAAAACATAGTTCGGGCAAAGCATAAATATAAATGTGAATATGTGAAAAAAACAAACATATCAACATCCACACCTTCAAGCACAAGTTCTGATTCTTGAACCTGTGACAGACAATGGAAGTTGCCTGTTGGTCATTTTATTAAATTATTAATAAAAAATTTCGGGTGTGAGTATGGATGAGCAGAAGACCTAACTGACTCTTATATCCATCCTCTCAAGGTGAAAGTTTTTACTATAGATGAGAAACTATAACAACACTATCATAGATTACTTTATCAAGTTCCCAATTGCTTGCACAATAAGGTGCGATATAATAATGTTGAAGGAAATAGAGATTCTAGGATCTCTTTTGAGGCACATGTTAAAAGACAAAATGTGTCCTTCACGAACATTATTTTTGCTTTCGTGCACGTTGATAAAAAAAGCATAAGAGTTAATAACACTATCAAGGCAATTAAACAATTAGATGATTTAGAATATGCAATTTTTCAAGATGACCAAGATTCTAAGCAAAGGATGCTCATACTTTTATGGCATACCTTTGGAATGTATTAAGCAAGAAATTATGAGAGTAGTAATAAAATATTAATAAGTTGATATGTTTTTGGTTTTTTTACGAAAAAAATTGTTTGCATTTAAAACTATCAACTTAAGTAATTAAAAGATTGATAAAATAGTGTATCATAGTGTTGTTGCAATTTTTCATTCATAGTAAGATCTATCCACTTGAAACTTTATAGCTATTTTAGTACTAAGTAGTTTCAATAATCTCCTAACATTGCAAAACCTTCGCTTTTCCTGAATATTAGAAAGATTAATTTTAAGATCATTTCACAACTTCTGAAACATTCCCTATACATGCTTGTGAAAGAAATAGTACATTCTTTGTCTTCTTATTCGATATAAGCAATTAGATTCGTTCTTCGAATTATTATCCCATCTATTTTTAGCTTTGAATAACAAGAGAAGTCTAAAGTGAATCTCTACTGCCAAAACAGAACGAGATTCATACATTTCCATAATGTAATAAAATGATTGCTGTCTAGGACAAAAGAAGATTTCAAAAATTGATGATTTTTATTCTTCTCCTTGATCAGTTTTTGCTTAAACTGATTTATTTATTTAGAATGCTTTTTTGATTTGAAACTTATTAATGTCATGAATAAATATCAATTGGAATAAGCAAAATGATTATCTTAAAAATTTCATTGTAAACAACGGTTATTTTTTCTTTTATTATTCGTTCTTATTTTGCTCTTATGTTGTTTTATACAAGAAAAAAAACAAAACAATTATGATGGATTAAATAAATGTTAAAATTGATAATAATATCAATTTTTAATTGTTTAATTCTTGTATGCACGACTAGCTCGACGACCACGAGCTTTTTCAAATTTACGACCTTTTGATCGAACCTTGGGTCTTGTTGAACTATGACGAGCACCAGGTGGTCGTCCTAAAAATTAGTAAACAAAAACCAATGATTATTCACAACAAGAAAAAAACACATACCAAAGTATCGATTAGCTTTACGTGCTTTTCGTGGACCTTGTAATAAAACAGTATTTTTACCCTTTGGTGTACGAAGTGCTAATTGATCAAATGTTAAAATTTCACCACCAGCAGCAAGAATTCGTGCACGAGCACGTTCCGTTAAATGTAAAGCACAAACAGTAAGTTTTGGTACTTCATAAAGTCGTACATCATCAGTAATTGAACCAACAACCACAGCTGTTTTATTGTCACGACCTTTTAAAATACACAAAAGAAATTTATATATAATCTCCAGCATAAATGCAAACCTTTCTTTTTCATATGACGAACAAGACGTGATAATGAAAGTGGTGGACGATTTGTATTCGACATAAATAAACGTTTTAAAAGAATTTTATTAAATTTTGAACCTGTACGACGTGCCAAAAATCGATAAAGTTTAACAAGTAAGAGCAAATATAAATTTTTTGAACGTGGTGCTCGTCGTACGGCTTTACGATCAAAACGATGGTCAAGATCGACACCCATTATAATGATCGAATCTGTTGAGAATGAAAAATAATCTACAAGATAAATACGCGAAAAAATAATAATAATAATAATAAATTTTCAAAACTATTATCGAAAAATGAAAGATTTTTTTTGCTTTGGAGGGAATCTATGAAAGTGGACAAAATGAAAAGGAAAAAACAAACAAAGTCGATTTTAATTTGTAATTGATTCATCGAGATTGGTAAAGTTATTATTTTCATTGGTTGAATAAGCCGAACGAAAACTAGTTAATGACTGATCGGATGGTGAGAGTGGATCAGGAAGAATTGTATTATCATCATCAAATTGTTCATTGACTTCTTTTGCTAAAACATCAAATGAATTTTCAAGATTATTATCATCAATTATAATTGCTGATGTTTCAGGAATTCTTTTTGGTGTTGAAAAATCTGTTACTGTTGTAACATGATCGTCATCATTGAAATCCTCATTAACAGATAAAACCGATGATTCAAATTGAATTTGTCGTATTGTATCCATTGATTGACGAAGACGTTTTATTTGATTATTTATCATATTTGATGCATATTGAGGACGAAGAATCGATTTAGCTAACATTTGTTTATCCTAAAAGAAAAATATTTAAATTATATTCATTTATCTTGTTAAAGTGTCAGTAATTCGAAATTTCATCAAAATTAGTTGTAAAAAAAGATCAGAAAAGTTAATAAAATCGAAATACACTAAAGACATCAAGTCTCAATATTTATCTCAAATTTTTTGCTTGATATTACAAATTATACGATTAGGAAAAAACTATATCAATTAGTATACTCAACTCAGTGTTTTTTCAAATACTCTGACCTATGTGTCTTCTAACGACAGACATCCACCAACTGATAATTCGCTGTTGAGTCAAGACTGTGCGTTATGTAGAACCAAATATTCTATGAATATTTCGTGAAGAAATCAGGTTCTCAATCTATTGCTGTCAAGATGTTGTACTGTAGCGGTATTTTTCAAATGATGGATTCAAAAATAATGCTAGATTTTATGTTTTTATCTCAGAATAGGAGCAAATCAAAAGATCTAAGACGTTTACAATAGACTATTGTCGCTAAGTTCGATCTCGATGAAAAGTTTCAAGTCTGAATCTCGAAAATTAATTTTTCTGGCATTCCTAAGGAGGACGACCGCATTGATATAAAAACTATCGTCGATTTTCAGTATCTTCACAATTCATTTGGGTCTATATGATGCAGATAGTGGCGAGTCAAGGGCTATTTGTCTGTTGGGGAAGCATTTCTTCGTTAGAAGACGGATAGGATCAGACTACAGAAAAATAATCGTGAGACTATAAAAACCGAAACTAGTTTTAAGTGTTTACTACCCTATTCAAAGCTAGCTTCTTGCTCTAATTCTGAATATAATATTATTTTCATTTTGAATTGAACCTCTGATGGTCAAGAACTTTTAATACAAACCTATATATTTTGCTATTATATCGAAAAAATCGATTGGCTCAATAATGAAGCAACATTATTTAGAAATGATATATCATATTTTCACCAACTATGTCATAAGTGAAATCCAAGAATACCGGATAAATATTGAAACTTAATGCATATGGTGTATTTCTATTGTTTTTAAATCTAATTTTTCTTTAGTTTCATTACAGACACATCATTTGAATATGCCAAAAAGAGTTGAAGTTCGAATTTTTCGCATCTTAAATAAGAATCAATATATGATTAAATACATACTGGATCGAATAATTCGAAATAAACAGCACCTTGTCGATATGGTAGTGGATCGTTTAACCATGATTTAATATTATGCGCACTTTCACTTTTCTGTTGAAGTCCATTGACAATCATTTCAGCTAAATTACAATAAAAAGTAACATAACGAAGTAGAATCTCTTCGAGTTTTGATGATTCTTCACTATTAATCGATTTTTTATTTGGTGTACATAATTTCACAATCGTTTGAAGTTCAATACTCTTAAAGAAAAAATATTGTCAGTATTATTCCTTTTTTTTCAATCTATTTTCTTACAGTTATTTTTAATAAATTTTCAATATTTGATTTATTTGTTGATAAATTAACAAGAACTTTTCCAATCGATAACATTTCCTCATTATTTTCAAAAGTTGATTTAATTAATAAATCAAACTCATTTATATCTTTCATATATTCATCATGAAGATATTCAAGTACAGACATATTTATTAATAAATTTAATCCATGAAGACGTACAGATGAATTTAATGGTGTTGTACGACATAAATTAATAACAATTGAAACTATACCCTAAATTAATTCAAATATTAAATTTCATTAATATTAAAATTCTATATATCATACATTAAAATGAGTTATTGTATAATCATTTAAAGCAAGATTATTAAGTGCTAAAAGAATTTTACATTGTGTTATATCATTATTTGTTGTTAAAAGGATATCACGAAGACGATTTATACAACCGGCATTTGTTAAAGTAACTTGACCTAAATATATATCAATAAGAAAAACAAACAGTTTCCTACAACAACAAATATTTACTTTCTTTCAATGTTGCTGAATTTGCAATATTTGTTAAAATGCGATGTAATCGTTCAGTATCGTTCTTGCTTTCATCAAGAAAACGAACTAACACAATTGCTTGATCTGCTGTCAATGGAATAACACCACCGGGAATATCTACTTGAATTGTAGCACCTTGTTGTTTTTTGTTTAATGTTTTTAGACAAAAGATATATTCAAAAAAATAAATATCTTACCACCACTTTGAAATTTTATTGATTCCAAAGTGTCATCAACATTGTCGGATGATGATGTTATATCAGTATATTGAGAATCACGATGAGATTTTATTGACGAAAAAATTGAAGCTGGTTTTACAGATCTATCATTTGGAGTTTTTGATACTAAACAAAAAAAATCTGTTTATCGAAAGAAATAGAAATATAAACATTTACATGCTGTTTTTCGTCGATGACGTAAATAGAGAAATAAAACTATGCCTGTACAAACACCGGCAGAAACGGCCAAGCCAACATAAATTTTTTGTCGAGAGGACATTGTAACAAGTGCCGATACCGAACAGAACTACTGACCATTGTGATTATATTCCAATTCAAAAAAACAAACAAGCAAACAGATTCGTGATTCCATAAATTACCAAATCGAATAGGCATATAAGGAGAAAAAAAAATGTATGCTTTTGTTTTGCCTCTTAAATTCATATAGATAGATGTCGTAAATGACTTTGTAAGAAAAAAAACAAATTTATATCTAATAGAATAATTGTTGGAAGACCGATCTTACAACTAATGAATGTTTTGACGTGTCTTCCATGGTCATGTGTTAATTTTATTTTGTTTGAACTGTCTTCTAGTAGTATCTGTTAACTTGAAGTAGTCTATTCACATTAATATTATTTGTGCAGAATATGTGTATGAATTCCTTGTGTATTTTCCGTCCATCATTAATAGGCTACAACGTATGTACACAATGAAAGTAAGTAAAAGATATCAAGTGCTTTTAGATGATATCAATTAGGTGGATTTCATATCAAAATAGTAGAAGAAAACGAACAGCACAAAAATAAACATTTAAGCAAACATCTCATACAATTGGTCTTTTAAAAATTTATACAGCAAACCAAAGAAATTTAGTTAAAGTTCGACTTCAACTGAAGAATATTTTCAGATATCCATCGATATTGCTAATTAAAGGTGTCATCAGACGAAGCTTCAGCAACTTCTATAAACAGTTGAGCTACGCTTAAAAAAAGCTTGACTTCCTTCTGATAGCATTAACACAGAGTCCACGCCAGCGATGACCATGACGGTGCTGCCGCTGCCTCGCCGCCACCGCCACGGCGGCAGCGGCAGGTTTCTTAAAAACTCATCGCGGCAGCGGCAGAGTTTTTAAAAACTCATTGGGGAGCGGCAGAGTTTTTAAAAGCTCATCGCTAGGCATGCACCCAAACCGTTTGGGTCACTTCTGCCCAAAGAAGGAAAAATGCCCTTATTTACTGAACCGTGCTGTGCAACAGTTTTTCTTCAGTGAAAA